CTAACCCTAAACCTAACCCTAAACCTAACCCTAAACCTAACCCTAAACCTAACCCTTACCTTAAGTTAAAGCACCCTTCTGTCTCCGCGCTGTTGTTGCTGCGCTGTTGTCGCCGCGCTGATGATGTCACGGTTTTAGCGACGCAGTTTAGTCGGGCACAGTTTTGTCGTTCGCCCTTTTGTCGAGTCACGCATTTGCTCCCCTTTTCTCCATTCTGAAGCAATTTTATATTATTCTTTTGCCATTAGCAAAATAAAATAAAAACGGTAATATATCTTAGGTGCATCTTCATTTGTTGATTTCAGTTCATTTGTTGCTGTTTACTATCCTGAATTGTCTGTTTTGAATCAGAAGGGGGATAAAACAAAAAAAAAATATCATATTCACTACTACAAGATGGCTAAATTGTGTGTAGAAATAAATATCACTGGCTTTATAAAATGTGCAAAAACATTTAAAATGGTAATACAATTGATTGTGTATAAAAATGAAGAAGGCAACCAGATCAACAGGATATATTTCTCTGGTTCAAGGAGTTTGTTGACTGTTTCCATTTTATGACTTATTATTTACATCCTGTGACACTTTTAGAAAAAGTGGCTGAAAGATGACCCAGAGGTCAGAGCAGCTGTTTCCAAATACTGTACTTAAAGTCCCACAAAATACAAATAAATTATGCCTCTTGGTGCATTGATTATAGTTCCCTTTGGAAGTAGGTTCTTTTTACAAGAGATGGTAACTGTCCTTTTCCTCCAAGAAAAACCTTCTGTGCAGGTTGAGCCAAATCTTAGCAAAGATAGGGAGTGCCAGGACTGCCTTTACCAAACTCTATAGCTCCATAACTGGTTGCTGCTTGTGCAGAGAGAGCAAAGCCAAGAGAAATGAGAGCCACAAAATAGCAGCATTTCCATATCACTGAAGCTGTTGCTTGTGTATTCTGAAAAAAAGTTCCTTTGAATCCTAAGAACTTTGCATCAAGAACACTTGTACAGTAAAATACTGTAGTCTGAGGCTTATTCTCCATTCTTTCACTGACTCCTGAGAGATTCTTGATTGTCAATTGAAGCACGAATGAAGAAATATCTCAAAAGTGCACTTATGGCTTTCTCTTCATACCATTCATTTGTCACACGCCAATGTCCAAGGCACTATTTACGTATAGTGCAATTAATCAAAACATTTTCATATTACAATTGTGTTATGGTGTTTTAAAAAAGATAAAGTGATATCAGGACAAAACACAGAATAAAACCGAATAAATGAAATGGTCTTTATGTGTTCAGATGCAAGACTGAACAGTGAGAATATTAAAATATATCATGATAAGAACAACAATGGTTATGTTACCATGCCATGTCTTGCCTAACCATACTTTTTTTCGATAACTCATGATTTGTTTGGTTTATACAACGCACCATTACAAACCGCATATGCTAAAGTATACATGAGCCAAGCACATTGTAGAGCCCCAGCCAATGGAGCAAAGTACTAGAAATGAGACATTGCTATGACTACTATGGTATGGATGAGAATACAGTAAACTATTTCTGGGTAGCTGCTGTTTGTAAGTACAAGTAGTCCTCAACTTACTACCATTCATTTAGTGACCGTTCAAAGTTACAACAGCACTGAAAAAAGTGACTTATGACCAGCGGTGAAATTCAATTTTTTTTACTACTGGTTCTGTGGGCGTGGCTTGGTGGGTATGGTGTGACTTGGTGGGCATGGCTTGGTGGGCGTGTCAGGGTAAGGATACTGCAAAATCTCCATTCCCACCCCATTCTGGGGCCAGCCAGAGGTGGCATTGGTAGTTCTCCGAACTACTCAAAATTAACCTGTCAGAACCTGCTGGATTTCACCCATGCTTATGACCATTTTGCACACTTACAACGGTTGCAGCATCCCCATGGTCATATGATCAAAATTCAGATGCTTGGCAACTAACTCAAGTTTATGATGGTTGCAGTGTCAGGTGTGTGTGTGTGTGTCTGTCTGTTTGTCTTGTGATCACCCTTTTGTGACCTTCTGTCAAATAAACTCAATGGGCAAGCCAGATTCACTTAACAAACATACGATTACCTTAACAACTGCAGTGATTCACATAGCAACTGCAGGAAGACATGTTGTAAAATGAGGCAAAACTCACTTAACAAATGTCTCACATAGCAACAGACACATGTTGGGCTCAATTGTGGCCATACATTAAGGACTACCTGTATAGCTGTGTATGTTAGTGCTTTTGTAGTCCGAGATCAAGGTTGCCTTTGGATGAATGGCTAATACAGCCCAGTGAAAGCCAACAGTGTGACTGTTCATTTATCAGTACATTACTAGCTGCGTCATAAACTTTCTCCCACTGCAGAGCAGATAGTGTCTTGCTTTGGCACACTCTCTCTGTTTACCTGCACTTCCTCTGCATATACATCATGATTCCCCATTGGCAATAGAGTGTATGTATCTCTTTCAAAACATGAGTATTCTCTCTCTGGTGACTCACAACTTGATTTTGACCAGTACAGTGGTTTGCTTCTGAGAAAACCACAGAGTTAAGGAAATACATCTTGGTTTTAGTGATCTCAAACGCAACCCCTTGGGTATCGTTGCTTCCGTTTTGTCATGGGTTCAGGACAAAGCTGTGAGGACTTTTCTCCCGCTTCTTCCACCTGTGTACTATGGAATGCCGAAGACTAAGAAATAAACCGACTGGATACGTCTGAGAGCAAAGGGCAGGAAGGCCATTTCTATTTTCAGCACCGCTATGATTCATTATAAAAATAGGAAAAGAAAAAAAAATCAAAGGAAACCAGGCTAGGAAGTCTCAAAACCTAAGGTTAGCCACGGCCGTGGGTGTAATGCTTTCTTTTGCCTTCTTCTCTTCCAGCTGGTTGAGCCAACTTCTGTTCCTCCCAGTGTTTCAGACTGTCTGCGGCTAGATGTTCGAATCCGTGCAGCTCAGAGCCAAGCTTGCTCCAACTACCAGGCAGACCTGACTTTCACCCCCGGCTTCCTCTATCCTCCTGGTTAGTAGAACTGTTCTTTATATAGCAAAGGCATACATAATGTTTTAATTATCTGGATGTGGCTGAGTGTTTAAACATATACATGAGTGGGATAAGCGTGGCATTCAGGAGGAGGGAGAAGGGGGGAAGACAATATAAAAGAAAACATGTTGTGGTATTTCTTGCCCATAAGAAGAACATAATATAACCATTGCCTTTTGTAGGCACAGACTGTAGGGCCATGGGAGGTGCAATTCTAAATATTTGATTCCACAGATTTGCGTTTAAAGGGAATAAGACTGAAAGGCAGCTGCGAGAAAGATCAGCTTATAAAATAAAGTAGAAATATAAACAGCAGCAAGAAGTGTACACAAGTAGTCCTTGACGTATGACTATAACTGAGCCTGAAATTTCTGTTGCTAAGTGAGTTTTGCTCCATTTTGCAATCTTCTTCCCCACAGTTGTTAAGTGAATAACTGCAATTGTTAGTGAATCATGCAGTCATTAAAGTAAATCTGGCTCCCCGCATTGACTTTGCTTGCTGGTGGCCAACTGGGAAGGTAATAAATGGTGATCACATGACCCCAGGACAATACAAATGACATAAATACATGCCAGTTGCCACGTGCCCAAATTTTGCTCATGTGACCACAGGGTTGCTGCAACAGTTGTAAGTGTGAAAAACAGTCATAAATCACTTTTTGGGGTGCCTTTGTCTCTTCAAACAATCACTAAATGAATGGTTGTAAGTTGAGGACTACTTGCATGGAAGCCGTATGGAGAGTCTGGGCAGCTTGTATGTATTCTATATATATGTATGTATGTATGTATGTATGTGTGTGTGTGTGTGTGTGTGTGTGTG